TTACGGGGAGTTAGGGAGATTTAGGCAAGCCATGGGTACAAATCCCAATCATCACAGTATAGCTAGAATCATGAGAGTTTGAATAAATGATTAATCCGGGGGTAATTCCGATCGCGGATACTTGGAGCCAGACTACGCCAGTCAGCTTACAATCACGGCTTTCCTCCCATCTTTTCCTATTTTTATTGTCAGAAAAATCAATAATCTAGGGTGTTCATATCAAAAGTTAATCATCGAAGATTTTAAATAAATCAATGAGTATTTCGCTTCTCTCTTCTTTTCTTTTATCTTTAATTTATTCTCCCATTTTTTTTTAATTTGGATACTAATTTTAACTAAATGTTTCAGGCTTCATTTCAGCCCAGCTCGCGCCTAGTGCGGTCACTCATCCCGTCGTCTTTGAGGGTTGCTTGAAAAGTTCAGCGTGCCCAAAATTAGGGGTACCTTGAGCCCCCCTAATTTTGTTGCCTAGTCTACCCGGAGTACCGTCAAAACACGGACTTGTCTTTGAACCTAAGATCCAAAACCCCAGCTTTCAGGCGGCACACTGCTTGTGGCCGCCTGACAGTTAGCCCGGACCACTTCTCGACGCCCCCGTCGAGCCCTACCCTCTTACGTCAGACGAAGCTAACGAGCTTCAGGGTGATGGCCCGTAAGGGACGCCCACGTTGGCGTTCAATTGTTTTATATTTCAGTTTGTTACTAGTCCTGGGGCTAAGAAGATGCTTCATAACTTTCCTGTTTCTTCTTGTTTAGGGTCCGGGCACGATCCTCTTTTCCTTCTGTCTTTGCCCCGAGAAGGGTGTCGATCCGCCAGTACGTCTAACACGAACTCTCCGTTTAGCTCGCTTGAGCACGAATAACCATCTCTTCTCTCTTTCTAAGGCTAACCCTTTGACCTTTCTCTTCTCTATCCTTTTCCTTTTTTTGGAAGTCTCTCCTGCCTCGAATTGCCTCAAGGGGGCTCCATCCCCCATCATGGCTTTCCCTTTCCCTTTCGGGCTAGTTAGCGATAAGGCGGGTGTGGGCCTGGGCCTAAACAACTTTAACCTAGCCCCCGCCACTGGGTCCTTCCACTTAGATCCGTCTAGTTCTGCTATCATATATGCACCCCAGTCAAGTGTTTCAACCACTCTGTAAGGTCCCATCCATCTATTGGCAAGCTTTCCGGTCCAGGTCCTTTCCAGCGCTGCATCGTAGAGAAGGACCATATCTTTTACGCTCACCCTCTCTTTCCTGATTCGCACGTTCTTATCCCATCTCTTTTTACCTTTGTCTCTTTCTACTGCCAGACGGTTTGCCGCTGTCATGAGGTCATCTTCCAAACCGTAGGCTATTTGTCTCGTTCGGGCTGCTAAGAGTTCTTCTCTGGGCATCTCCTCCGCCCAGTCAACGGTTGTCCAACTGTCGACGTGAAACTCTATGGGAAGCGGACAATGTCGCCCAAACCACAAGGTGTACGGGGGGTACCCGGTACTAGCCCGGACCGTGACGTTGTCCGCCCATATTGCGTATCGAAAATATCGTGGTCAATCACCGTCCTTACCTTTGCACCACTTGGACAGTGACGCTATCAGAGTTTGGTGTCCCCTCTCTACTGGGGAGTTCGACTGTGGGTGATAGGCGGTGGCTATCGAAACTTTCGCACCGGCTCTCCTAAACACGCTCTGGACCTCGTCGGCTAGGAATTCCGCCCCTCTGTCCATCACTATCTTGCTGACACAACCATACCTAGATAAGTACTATAGGACAAAGTTCTTTACTTCCTTTGCCGCCGTACTCCTGATAGGTCTACCGTCCACGAACCCGGTGAAATCGTCTCATATGTTCACGATGTAGTTCATATTGCCTACCCCTCTCGGCATTTTCACTAGATCAATGTGTACCTTCTCTCCTGGTCTGGTCGGATAGGATGGGTGAAGTGGCTCTTTGTATTTCACAAGAGCTCTCTTCTGGCACTCTTCGCATGTCATACAGTACCTCTCGATGTCCTTATACTGTCCATCCCACCAGTACAGTCGGCGTATCTTTTCGTAGGTTCCCTTGACTCCCCTGTGTCCTCCGACTACCCCGTCGTGAAGTTCCGCAACTATTGTCTGTCTCTCCTCAGGGTCACAGACTACTCGTAAGGGCATTCCCGACCCTACTGGCCTTCGGAAAAGGTGGTCCGCTCTAAGGCAGTACTGGGCTGCTTGCCTTCGGATATCTGAATCTTGACTCTCTTCTCCCGTCAGGTGTAGTCCGATCATTCGGTACTTGCCCTCGTAAAGATTAACTAGAAATCTCTCGGCGCGCCTCGGCTCTGCCATTGTCAGAGCCCCAGCTACTATCGGACGCTCGAGAGGGATGCGTGAAAGCCCATCTGCCACAGCATTTTTAGTACCAGATATTCTCTCGACCGTGTAATCGTATATCCGAATCCGTATTAACCATCGGGCGATGGTCGGGTCCGTCAGACTAAAGTCCTTCTGGAGGACAGAGGCAACCGCGGTGGGGTCTACTCTCAAGATGACCCGTCGCCCATAGATATAGTGTCTGAACGTGTCTAGACACCGGAGAACAGCTAACACTTCTTTCTTGAATTGATTGTAGTTACGCTCAGTCGTATTAAGTGTCCTACTCTCAAATCTTAACGGTCTTTCCTTCCCTCCAGCGTCCTTCTGAGACAACAAACCACCGAGTGAACATAGTCCAGCATCCGTGGATACTATGAAAGGTCTCTCGGTCTCATCGTCAAAGAATGGCACACCCAACACGCGCCCTCCTTCCTTAAATTCGTCTTTAAGTTCTTGCATTGCGAGTTCCTGCGAAGAATCCCAGTAGAATTTTTCAGTCTTTCGAAGGAGTAACCTCAATGGCTCAGCCCTCTCCGCATACCCCCGTATGAATATGCGCCAGTAACCGACCACTCCCAGAAATTGTCGGACCTCGGTTGGGCTATGTAACGGCGACGGCCAGTTCAGGAGTTTGTCTAACTTTGCCGGATCTGCTCGGCGTCCTCTCGAGTCACATATAAAGCCCAAGATCTTAATAGTCGAGACGGCCSATCGGCTCTTGGTCCCGCTGACTGTCAAATTTGCATCGTCCAGCTGCTCGAGTACCGCGCAAATGTCTGTCAGGTGCTGCTCGACGAATCTTCTAACTCCAAGTATAACCTCTGTCTCATCTCTCTCTACTGGCCCTTTAATAGGAAAATCATCCAAAAAAACTTCAACCTTATCAGGGATGAAGTTCTTTAGGACGGCTACCATGGCTCTCTGAAAAACAGCTACCCCATTAGTCCAACCCATTGGGACAACCATCATTTGAATTAGTCCCAATGGCATATGCATAGCCGTGAGATGTCTGTCCCTAGGGTCAAGCGGTACCTCATCATAGCCTGAGAACAGATCACAGACCGAATAGATCGACCTACCCGTTGCGCCCTCTGCTAGTAAGTCKGCGTGTGGYACKGAGCCCACGTCTCGTATCGTCACCGCGTTGACCTTCTGAAGGTCCTGGATCCATCGGATCTTGCCATTCGGCTTTCGTAGGAAGAACCATCGATTTGCATAAGCGYTATCAGACGGCTCCGCAACGTGGGAAACCATCTTTTCTTTCAGGAAGGCGATAACTTCTTCCTTCTCCTTCTGGGCGTATTTCCATCCCGCGTCGTTCCAGGGAACATGTGKTATCGTGTAAATCCTTGCTGGCTTAGCGTATCTAGGGTCAATCCTACCGCGCTCCGCGTCGCTGAAAGCTATTGCCTTATCACATGTCTTCAGAATTTCTATCACACGTTCTCGCTCCTGTGGGGTCAGATTACCATCCCCGATGTCCATCCCTGCTATTCTCTCTTCCGTTAGGCGTTGCGGCTCCTTTTTYTTTCTTTCTTTGATTTCTTTTGCGATCTCTTCTTCCGATATCCCTTCTAGCGCAGATTGCTCGCGGCCCACCGCCGCTGGCTTAACTTTCTGTGCTACTCGTTTGTGTCGCTTGGGTAGCCCCCCATAGGGGGCTGTGCCCTTAAAAAAGACACAGATACCACACCGCCAAATTCCTCATCTTGCCCCTTTGGGTACGAGTTGCCATCCACTATTAGCCGACTCCCAAAGTCTTTCACCTCCACCATCCGGCCTTCTTCCTCTGTGAGCAGTGGTCCATATTTCTTCTCACGAAATCGCACCTCGCGGCTGGAGATAGGCAACGACTTAATCTGATCACTGGGTCTTGCACCCACAGCGAGAGCTGCTCTGTTCCTCGGGTCCCGAGGCTCCACTGTCTCAATCATTACCCGCGTCCCGTCTGGCTTCTTAATGGACAATGTTTGGCTTCCATCAGGTCGCTCTATCGTCACTGCATGCACGTGGCTGAGCCACGTTCGACCCAAGAGCAGGTCAGAGCTGCAGTTCTTGACTGCAAAGACAGGCAGGGTTACTCGCACCCCTTGGAC